GGGGATATTCTGGGTGTACACTCAGTTCATGCAAGGTTATGACCAAGCCTACTGAGTCTAACAATTGTCTCATTTGAACAGTGTACAGCACAAAGCATGTTCAACTTTCCTGAGTATATTTGTTCAGAGGAAGAGTAATTGTGGTGGGAAAGCTGCCTTACAGAAGGGTGAATCCATATTTGTTCATCCTTAGAATAGTTATAATTAATTCAATAGGTCTGTTCTGGATCCAGCAGAGAATCTCGTCTTGTCCCTTACCAATTGCTGATAGAATTCTTGACAACGGGCAGTCAAAGAATCATAAAATAGTAGAGTTGGAAAGGACCAATAAGGCCATTGGGCCTACCCCTTTGCTTAATACAGGACTCCCAAGTTAAAGCATCCCTAACAGATTACTATCCAACTGCATCTTAAATATCTCCAGTATGGCAGAGACCACAACTTCTCTAGTAATTGATTTAATTGTCATATTACTCTAACAGTCTGGAAGTTTTTCCTGATGTTCAGCTGTAACTTGAACCTATTATTCAGTGTCCTGCACTCTGTAATGATTGAGAGAAGAGATCCTGGCCCTCCTCTGTATGAAAACCTTCCAAATACTTGAAAAATGTTACTACATTTTTCTTCAGTTTTCTTTTCAAGACTAGACATACCCAGTTCTTTCCATCTCTACTCAATGTGATTTGTTTCCAATCCCTTGATCATCTTTGTTGCCTTCCTCTAAACCTTAGAATTCCCCAGAACACAGTTTGAAAATCACTGGTACTAGCTAACAGGCCCACACCAATGTTAAGGTCAATCTTTGAACCAAGTTATGTTTTACTTTATTGAATTGCTGTAAAACCACGGCCTAAAAATTAAAAGTAAATTATTGGTGAGACATTAGTACAAGTTAAACTTGGACAAATCAGTTCAAGCCTATGAGCCTAAAAATTAGACAATTTTCAGTAGAGATTATCCTTTAATAATAGCTTCTTGTAGTATATCACACATTGAATGCTGGGTATGTTTTTGAGTGATTATTATGCCATCAGAGATATTGCTTAACTATTGCTTTTTATTTATTGCTTCACACATGCTAGCTAGAGGAATCTAGTGTCCAATTTTGCTGCTTCCATTGCCCAAAACAAACTAGTCATGCAAAACTGGTTTTTTAAAAATAACATCCACTGAAGATTACTAACAATGAAATCCTAAACCTGTTTACACAAAAGTAAATGCCACTAAGCTCAATGGAATTCAATGGTACTTACTTCCAGGTAACTGAGAAAAGGATTGCAACCACCATTATTTTCTTCTTAGCTGTGCATTTATCCTTTAGAACTTTGTTTTAAAGAAAATAACAAGAACATTTCACATCTCTCCTAGAGAATGAATTAAATAACAATTATAAATTGGTGGTAATGAAAAATTATATATTTTTTTAAATGAAATGCACATTTTAAATATATGTTAAGAGGTACTCCTGTAAGTATTCTTACAGTGCAATATTATACCTTTCTGCTCAGAAATAAGGCCCACTGAATCCAGTGAGGCTGACTTCCAAGTCAGGCTGTGTAAGATGGTTGGTAGACAAAGCAACATCAAATTAAAAATGTCTGAGTTTAGCAAAGGTTTGCAGTGTTCACAGATTAATGCCTATATTAATCTCTCTAATTATGATAAATGTTTTTAATGACAGGATGCTATAGTGCCTTAAGTAGAACAGTATTATACTGCAGAACTGGCCTTATAATGAAAACATGTAAATTGTTTCCTCTGGGATGGGGAAAGATTTGTCATCTGGGACAATATGTAAAGCAAAGCTATATATGTAAGATCACATAAGGTACAATCTTAGGCAATTTTAGACAACAAAAAGGTCTACCACTCCCAGTATGCCCTGGACGTTTTTCTGTCTAAACTTGCCTAGCATTGGACTTTTAGAAATACGGGCCTGCAACAATCAGCATTCTGTGACCACTGAGCAAGTTCATTCAATTCGGTTGCTGGGGATATGTGCACCTCACTTAGAGTTACCTCCCCTCTAACATTCTTGTACTGGAAAAGAGCTTTGTGAATTCTGTGAACCAATAGAAAGACAAACAAATAGGTCCTAGATCAAATCAAACCAGAACTTTCCTTAGAAACGATTATGACGAAACTGAACCTGTCATACTTTCGGCACATTATGAGAAGGCAAAACTTCCTGGAGAAGACAAATCATGCTTGGGAAAATTAAAGGCAGAAGATGAAAAGAAAGACCAAATATGAGATGGATGGACTCCATAAATTAAGCCACACCCTTGAAATTGAAAAGGGCTGAGTAGGGCTGACATGGATAGGACATTTTGGAGAGCTTTCATTCTTAGGGTTACCATAAGTTAAAGATGATTCAGTGGCACATGTTGTTGTATTTCTGGAATATTTCAAGTTACCTCATACTTGCTGATGCCTCACTTTTGCATTTAGATACTGTTCTTTTGGTCAAATAAGGACTGGCCCTTGAAAAACTGGGCTTGCTATTAGCACAGACCAGTAGAACATATAACAAAATCTTGCATAGCAGAATGTTCCAGTTGAGGGTTCTAGCCAGACAACCATGCTCTTCCCGGATACACCATTCTCCTGCTCCTCTGCATTCTATTTCCCCACCTCCAACAATCATTCCATATTCTAGAGCTCAGTCCTGTTTTGCGGTTATTCCTCCTACTCTCATAAAAGTATTTTCCTCATGATTTGTGTGCCTGAGCATTTCTCCAAATTTTGGGGTTCCTGCCAACAACTCTTTCTTGTGTGTGGATGGGCTGTTTTGCCTATATAAAATTAGAAATAACTTTGTTATTAGTATGTATGATGATTTCTAATGTGCTCTTCATCCTGAACGCTGAGGGAAAGGGGTTTTTTTTAAATACACATGGCCATAGCCATACCACACAACATAAAAATCAGGATAAAATTTTAACGCCCCTCTAGTCAAAGGTTTTGATGTTTATTTAGAATCAATATGTGACTATCTAGGCTTCCCAGGCCCACTCAGTTTCCTTGTCCATCTACTGTGCTCTCATACACAGTGGGGCATGACATGACAGCATCCACAGTGAGAGTGAAAATGTAGTGCACACAGCTTCCATTTTGAACATGCAACCATGGTTCAGGACTGGTGATGTGGACCCAGCAAGAGTGGGCTATGAAGGGATTGCCCAATATTTGCGTATCCCATTGTCTTAGGGTTAAGCAAGGGTTGTTTAGACTACACTGGGTTGAGGGGAGGAATTGACTATGCAACATGGCCTGCAGTCAGTGTTTTCAAACCCAGTCAGTGTTTTCCCTTAGCTCTCAATTCTTCATTTCTACCTTCATTTTCCATCTACCTCTTCCAGACCAAATCCCAACTTCATAAGCTAGATCTTAAGGTGTCTCTTTGCATTTCCCTGGACTTTCTTCCCTGCAGCTTCCCAGCCCTCAACCTCCTTAACTGCCTGCTACCTCAGCCTCTTCCAGCTTCCAGTTAACAGCTCTTACCATCTACAGGCCCTAATATGAAGGCTTCCCACGCAGCTCAGCACGACCCCATGAGTTTCAATTTCTCGCACGTTCCTGCCCACTTTACTCGTCTTTCGGTTCTTTGCCCTCCTCTGGGATTTGAAGGCGTACACGAGATGGTCTTGCACCGGGAGTCCTTTTTAGGGGCATTTAAAAAGAAAGTCAGGCTGATCAGTAATAACACGAACGAGGGAAAGATGATGGCGGTGTTAGGCCTTACGGCTACCCAGCCAGTCACATGTTTCTCGTTTTGCTTGCATATTAATTCCAGTTTCATAAAAGCAAGAGGAAGGGGAGGAGGCTGCCTTAACTAGATCTATTTGCGATTTTAATGGCTGCTATTCATCACACCGTATTTTCCTTTCGGGAAATGGGGCGGGAATAAACCCCCATAAAAAACGAGCGGTTCTCACTTTCTCTTTAGAGAGAAGAGTGACCAGCTTTCATCGGTCCTTCCGGGAGGGGGGAAGGAGGGAGGCGGCCTGCCGAGGCCCTGCCCGCCGGGGGCTTGGCTGGCTGGCTGGCTGGCTGGCGGGCGGGCGGAGTGACGGACGAGCCCTGCTTGGCTTCCCTGGGCTCGTTAGAGGGAGCTGTCGGCCGGAGGGAGCGGCGCTTGCTGCAGTGAGGGACCCGCTCCTGCTTCTTGCCCCCCCACTCCGCCTCCTCGGGAGCCGGGGACCGGCCGCGCCGCGGGAGCCGCAAGAGAAGGAGGCGGTGACGTGCGGGCACGGCACGGGTTCTTCGCGGCGGCAGAGGTGGGCGAAGGCTGGCCGGGCCTTGGCAGCCGCGGCCGTCGCTGCCGCCATGAATCCCGCAAGCTCCTCAGAACCGGCCCCCAGAAGAAAGCCGGCCGGCCGGAGGTACGGAAAGCCCCCGCCTGCCCTTTCGCAGCGAGCAGAGCCTATCCCGGGAGAAAAGCCCCTGAGGGGCGAAAGAAGGAAAGGGCGGGAGGCGTCTTTTAGCTTGGGCGGTTGCTCGGGAAGGCAGCTCCCCCCTGAGGGGAAACGGAGGACAAGCGCTCGCTTTCCTGGGAGCCCTTGAGGGTCCCCCTCGCAGCCCCGGAAGAGGTCGGGACGCCTCGATCCCAGGTCCTCCCCCATACTCCGGGTGAGCTGCGCGGGGTGCTGGTGATGGAGGAGGAGGAGAACGGCTGGCGGACGTCGCCCTTGAGAAGGCTCCCTTCGCACCCCGAGGGTCACCCGCTCTCCCATTGCTGCTGTTCTGCGCCCGTCTGAGGCAAAGGGGGTGCGCGCACGCGGGAAGGGGGCGGCTGATGATGTGTGGGGCGCTAATTCTCTCTCCCGCCAGAGTGAATATGGACGTTGGTCCTTCGAAAGATTTTCATTCTGAATTGAAACGGGGGGAGGGACGGGGAACACAGACACCCCCACTTAGTGTCCTTGAATACCTAACCCTTGTTATAGACACAGATTTTGTTTTTTTGAGGGAGAGCCGTGTTTTTTTTTTTTTTTCGGGTTGCAAAAGCACCCTGTTGGTGTCCTTGAGAGAAGCTCCGAATTAAGTAGGCGCTTTAAACCCTGGGGAAGAACAATTTCCAACCGTAGCTGCCTAGGAAAGAAAGATATGCCTTTTCCTCGCGAATCGTTTCTAAGAGCCTTTTTCTTAATGCTGTGAGAACAAAATCAAGGGGACCCTCTCGCTTCAAGTCTTGAAGATGAGTAGAGTCGCTTCATTTGTGCCCTTGAATATGTTCCCCTTTCTAAATTTTGCGTATCCTTGAGAGGGCCTCTCATTCTTAAGTTAACTGTAGAGTTGCTAGTCTACAGGATCCCCCCTCCCCCAGCCAGGTGAATAGAAGGTATCACCTGATGTTTTGTAAGAGGTTTGGCTCAAACTGTTCCATAGGGAGGAAGACCACCTTTTAAAATGTGGCCAGCTTCCTCATTTAACTCAGAGATTGTGCTCAAGCGTGCTGCTCTTCGTCTTCGCCTAATGGAGAAGATGCTTAAGAGCACCCTCCGAGTTCTTCTGAGTTTTCCATTTGACTGGGGAGCAAGCAGAGCTTACCTTTTTCTTCACCACCCTTTAGTCAGAACTGAGAGGGCCGGGTCGGGCGCTTTCCCCCACACACCCGAAATATGCTGTAGGGTCGGAAGACAGGGACGCTGCTGAACCTAAGAGGATCCCTTCCCCCGTTTCTTGGTGTCGTGCAGACGACAGCCCTAATATACCCCAACAGGTGCTGGAGTAAGTCGCACTTGCTGCCGCTTCAGCCCTGCCCTTTGGCACTGTGGTGGCGGCCCTCTTCCAACGCACCCATCTTGGTGGAGAGCGTGCGAGAGGAAAGGACACACCCGTCGCGTCGGGGGCTTGGCGCAGAGATCAGCCCCGCTTTCCCAGAGCCGACGAGAGGACGGCACGGTAGGTCTTGAAAACCGCGCCTGGAGGCTGCGGCGGATGTAGCTTAAACCCCCGGGGCAAACCGCCTTGGCAGAGCTTTCCCTCTCCGGGTAGCGCCCCCAGCATTTGTGCAGCCAGCCTCTTATTCAGTCGCTCACGCCCCGCGTGCCTTTCTGCCCCTCAGGGAGCTGGAGAGGGAATAGGGAGCCGGCATCGCGTGCTCCCGGCCCGTTACTTTGGGGCCAGGCCAGCCACCTCTGTGTCCATGAGACCGCCGTCTGCCCGTCAGAGGAGCTGCCGCCGCCACCGCCGCCACCTCCTCCACCAGCAACCACCAACCAGAACGCACGCCGCCGCCACTACCGCCTCCGGGCCCAGTTGCTTTGATTCTGCTGCCGCCTTTCCTCCGCGCAGCAGAAGGTGAGTGATCCCGTTGGGTGCTCTCGGGCAGCGTCGCCGCGCGATTCTTGGGTATCTCTCTGCTGTCTCCGTGTGGCTTGCTCTCATTTTGGCCATCTCCCGCCCCCGCCCATGCAGTCTGGTTCATGTGTACTCCGAAAGTAATCTCCATTGAACTCAGTGGGACCTGCTGCCAAGTAAGAGTGTCAGGAGGATTACATTTTTGTTCTTCCTTTGCTTTTAATTTTCTGTCAGAGATTCTCTAACACATTCCATCCTTTGGCCCCATTTATCTCTACTTTTTTTGCTGACTGCCACCTAATATACTTCGTATATGTGTCATTTTTCTCTCGTAATTTAAAGGCTAGAGAAGCAATTTAAAATATTCTAATGTCTGGCTTTGAGGTTTATTACTTTTTATTGCCAAGAAGCATTATCTTGCATAGTTAGTGTTTGCATATTTCTACTTCCCCTTAAGAGGACTTAGGTGTCTCTCTGCTATTACTGTGTAAGACTAGCTATGATAAACTATGAATTTGTTTGTGGGGAAAGGCAAAGGAAATCCCTGTAATCCTTTATTGTGTTGTGATTACAGTCTTTTTTTCCTTGCCACATATAATGTTTATTTCCTTTCACTGCCTGCTTATTTCCTTTCATGATTAAATACTATTTTATTTTTATTTATTTTATTACTAATAATTTATTTACTGCCCTATAGCCCAGAGGGCTGTTGGGGCAGTTTACAATAAAATACAATAAAATTAGCAATATATTAATAAAATGAATCTGTGCTCAGTTATTCGTTATTTATCTATTTAAGTATAACAAAAATGTTTGTCTGTTATATAAAAAATCCCAGGGCAATGAGCTAGGGTTTTGTTAGATTTTTTTTCTAGCCTTCATAAACAAACTCGCAATTAATACAGGTGATTTTCATTTGTTGCTTGAGGTGATTTTGAAGAGCCATTTTTTTAAGGTGTAAGATTGGTTATACACATCTGTGTAGCAAATCTAAGCAGCAATCCTTAGACTTACCTGTTTCATGTCAAGATGGAAAAGACAGGTATCCATGGAATATATGTGTGAAAACAGACAAATGGGGGAGGGGGAAACATGCCTTAACACTCACCAAATACACTAACATTTAGTTGAAGTAAGGCCATATTGTTAATTGGTATGCAGGAAGCTGTGTCCTTCACATTGAGTAATTTCTCTCTTTCTTATCCTATAGGGAAAGACTACTGATCCCTGTGTGAAAAGAATGGCTGTGACTTTAGAACAGGCCCAAAGGGCGGGCTATATATTTCTGAAAGCACTCTTAAGATTTGGCTTCATGGTTGCTAATAACCTTGTGGCCATTCCGTCCTACATTCTCTATTTAATAGTACTGCAACCTCTCCGATTGTTGGATAGTAAACGGTTCTGGTACATTGAAGGAGTATTATTTAAATGGCTTTTAGCTATGGTGGCATCCTGGGGCTGGTGGGCAGGATATACAGGTAAGAGCAATTTACTACTTGAAATGTAACACACACATATACTGGAAAAAAATTATATATATTGAAATGTGCATATGAATGAATGTCTCCTAAAATATTTGTGTTCTTATAGGGGTATCTTCAGTGTTTATAGAATAAAAACTTAGACTGTAATCCTATGCTCATTTTGGTATTTAATGCTGAAAAGTGTTCAGGACAACTTACAAGTTCAGTTTTGAAAGCTGAACTTTCATAACAGCCAAACCCTTATAAAATATTAATTGAAAGTGAAAGCAGTTAACAAATTATAGTTATTCTCTTTGTCCCTTGAGGTCAAATAAAACTGTTCTTTCTTGTGTAAAATAAGGAAGCATGACACAGGTGGACTCTGAGAAAAGAGGAAGCTCTGCTGAACTCTCTGGGATTTATTGTGAAGTGATCATGCACAGACTTTATCATATCTCAAGGGAATATGTATGGATACTAGGGGAGTGGGACACATTATGTTCATTTATGCTACTGTATCTGTGAAAATTAGGTAACTCCAGTGACAGGAGTGGAGGACAGATTGCTCTCACTTTAGCACTAGCCTTAGGTAGAATGTTTTATTTTACCCTCTGGTGGTGAACATTGACTTACCTGGAGGAAAGAGGAGGGGTGCACCCATTGTTTGGGGTGAGGAATAGTTTTTATTCTCAGCTTTATCCTAGGTTGTATCTGTGATGATAGTATACTGTGTTAGAATATTAAGAGTGAACTTGTTTATGTTACATAGTGAATGTCCAAAATTTGGTAAATGTTGACTTTCAGTTATGAAAGCCAACAGTCACAGATAACTTTTTTAAATACATATTGTATGGGTGAATGTCAGTTTCAGATCACTGCTGTAAAAACTATAGATAACATTTTTGCAAGTCTTTAAATGGAAATATATATATTCTCAATATAGTTTGATCCATATATACAGCAGTGACTTAGTTACTACTTGAAATGTAGCGTATGTATTTTCACATATTAAATTAGTGGTCCCCAGCCTTCTGGGACATGGGGGTCACATTAGAGTGCCCAATGCCTAAAGAAGATCACATCTTAAAAGTAATAAAATTATTAACCTACTGATTTAGATCGAAAGTGAACATTCAGAGGTCACTGAAGAAATGATAATTTAAATGCAATCCATTTTGGAACAATATTTTACTGTGAAATCTTTATCTCGCAACACATGCTTACCCAGTCAGTGTGATTTTTGTGGCTGTTTTCTGTTAATTAAGGCTTTAATATCCAAGTCAAGGTTTGTGACAGACACTCTTAAATGTAAATGTTCATCTGTAAGTCTTGATCTACACTTGGATTTCACAATTTTCGTCTTGGAAAAAGTTTGTTGACAAATATATGTGATGCCAAAGACTGAACATGCCTGCAGCAAATTTCTTTAGGTTGATAAAGATACCAAGTAGACCACATTAGAAATTTGTTTTCTTTGTAAAGGGCTCTGAGGTGATCACTGGTTTGCAAATCAATTAATTCCATCTGAAAAAGTTATTTGCATCTTCTTGCATCTACTTCGAATGGATTTTGAAACATTCTTATTTTCTTTCCATGCTTATGGCAATCAGTGAATCTATTCTGGAATTCCACCTGCAATAGGCTCAGTGCTTTGATGTGTCTTTCAGCATTGAATTGTAAATTCCTATCCCTCTCAATTTTTGGTTCATTGAAGCACCAGACGTTTGCAGGGTACTTTCACTAACTTGCTTCACAAAAATGTTTTGTTTTGCTTCAAATACTTCAATTCAGAATATGTGTGTCAGACACAAGCTTTCTTTTTCTCTGCAACTGTACATTCAGTGTATTCAGATGATCTGTGTTACCAGTTAAGAAAGCCAAATCAAAAATCCATCTAGGGTCAGAAATTACTTCTTGACCTTTTCCTTTCTTGTTGAGAAAGACATCAACTTCATGATGAAGACTGAAAAACTGTGGACTTTGCCTCTGCTAAGCCACTTGACTTCTGCATGGTACAATATACATATTCTGCATCCATCTCTGAGAAAAAAAATTGTAAGTGATAAGTTAGGCTATAATGCCTGATGTAATTAATGATGGATACAACAATATGCATCACACTTTCCCATTGAAGAATCTTACTACACAAAGCTTGCTGATGGATGATGCAGTGAAATTGCATGGGAAATGTACTGAAAAGAGATTTCAGTATCTCTTCATTGATTATTGCAACTACACCAGTTTTATTTCCTACCATATTTCTTTTATCATCAGTTGTGATGCTTTTCAATTTATCCCAACTCAGACCAAGATATTGTACTGATTCACAGCCTTCAAGAATATGTTTCAATGCGGTTGTAGTGCCTTTCAAACTCAACAGTGCATATAATTCTTCAGTAATTCTGAAATTGGAATCTATCCCCCTGATCAATATTAGTAGTTGAGCAGTGCTTATATTTATTTATTATTTATTTATTTGGAATTCTTATAATGTCATTGCTCTTATTTAATGCCAAAGAAAAAAACCTTCTTGTTCTGACAGTTACATATGCAGCTTTTCTCCTAGTTCTTCAACATGCCTGGTGATTGTAGATGCAGATAAACTGACACAACTAACACAGCATACCTTATCAGGGCATGTTTCCTCCATTACAAATCTATGCACTTCTTAACAAATGCACCTCTTAACAAATCCACTCTCAGTGAATGGCCTGCCACTCTCAGCAGTACATTTAGTAACATGATAGGTGGCCCTTACAGTTGACAGGTTCTCCTCAACATACTTTCTAAAACTATTTTGCTGCAAAAACATTGATTTTTTTTATCTCCTTGATAATACTGAGTAGCTCTTGTGACAGGATTAAAAGTACCTTTTATTATTATTATTATTATTATAACATTTCTATGCCGCCCCTTGCCGAAACCTCGGGGCGGCTTTTAACATTGTACTTCTTTAATCCTAAGGTAGTTTCAAGACATATCAGGCAAACTGCTTTATCCTTGTTTAAAACACATACTCAATGGTCCATTTGTCATTAAAGACAAAATGCTCATCTGCAACTTCATTTCTTTGAAACAGCACTTTCTTTTGCGGACATCTTCTTACATAATTTTTAGCAGATCAGCAATTGCAGGGTTTCATTATTACCCTTGAATGAATAAAAATATGAGAAGTATAGTTTTAGGAGTCTCTTCCCTTTCCCATCAAATCCACCCCACTCTGGATGCTGTTAGCTGGGGATTTTCATTTTGACCATGACAAAGAAGAGACCCCTGCCTCTATAGTTCTCAGGAATATTGGGCCAAATGCACAGACTAAGAAGAATTTTTAAAAAAATGGATCATGAATCTGACCTACCAGATGGCAGAGCTGCAATCCTAGGGACATTTAATACTGTAAGATTTCTTCCTTAATAAACACACTGTCTTGAGGTTTAAATCTATACATGCTAATATAAAAATTGGGGGCTCTCCAAAGAAAAGGGCAGGTAGAGAGAAAGCATGAATAAAAGGAGAGCCTCCCACCTGGAGCAGAGGATATGCCATTAAGTTGGCTTCAAATTATATGCAGGGTGCACATACACATCACTGTGTGCCAGCCAAGCTTCTACCATGAGAAGCAAAATGGCAGTCAGGAGGAAGGGAATGTGACTGGAGGAAGATGTGGGAAGGGGAATCCCGTAAGCTTCAGTCCTAAGAGAGATCTTCCCTCTCAACCAATCCTGCAGTCACAGATGCATGAGAAGACTCCTAGCTGGAGTGGGTGGGGAAGGAGAGGCAAAAGCAAGCAAAGTCAGAGCAACCAGTTCTTGTTGAGGAAGGAAGCATGCATTTTCCTGAAGCGGCAACCTCACCAGTAACCTTGGAAGCCACTGGAAGGTACCTTGATGGGCAAAGCCTCTAGAAATGTTCAATATGCAAAGCACTTTGTATCCTTTTTGCAAACATTCTAGCTCTTTTAGTCTCCTTTTCCCACCTTTTCTCGCAAAAGCAGGCCAGACATCTCTAGAACCCATCCACATAGCAGCTTTAGCTTCCTTATATATATAGCTTTCAACATGGTAATACATGGAGAGGGGTGATGAAAAGGCTGAGTGGTACAGGTTCCTGATCTCTGTTGGCTAGGAAAGCTCCCAGAATCGTCAAAAAGCTAGTATAGAGGATAAGACCAAGAGTGGGTGGACAGAAGGAACCATGGAGATCAGAAGAAACAATGTTGCTGGTGTGTGAGTGTTTGGGTATTTGGTATGAAAGGGACAGGAAAAACAGCAGTAGGTGGTGCTGCTTGAGGCTTGTGTGTCTGAGGAAAAATGCCTTGAGGGTGAGAGTACTAAATATGGTTGGACAGCCACAAAGAAAGTGCATGGGGACTGCATGCAGCCCATGGGTTGCAGGTTGGGGACTCGTGTTTTAAATAATTGGTATGGAGTAATAAGCCATGGGTACAGAGCAGCTCCCATATGTTTGCAGTGATTTCCGTGCTCTATTGGAATTGCATAGACTGGAAGGCAATAGCCTTGTATGCGTCTCAGTAACTTTTTGTTTGTTCATGAAGAAGGCATGCAGTAAAAAGTAGGTACATCTTCCTTGCCTGTGTACCTCATTACATGCTTTTAATTCTTATTGGTTTGATGGTAGAGATTTGTTTTTCTTTATCCCTAATTCTTCTTAATAAGTGAGTTTGCATGGCACCCCTGTTCATTGTGGGCAGCTGACCATGATGGGTTGACATGTTAGCCAAACCCAGACTGGTCCCTGCAGAGTGTCTTCACGGGGAACAAATCAGCCTGGCAATCCATGACTTGATCTATGAGCTCTCATGCTCACGATGAGTTGTTCTGTCATTCAAACCTAGGAGAGCAACTTTACCATGCATTGTCAGGATCAATTACAGAGCTGTTCAGCAAGAGCAGCAAAATAACCTGCCACTCTTCATAGTCTTTCACTTCTAGCTTCCCTTGCTGGTGACTGTCTCTCTGTCATTGCCAAAATAGCACTTGGGATGGATTGTTACTTGTTCACCCAGGGCTTTTTTTGTCGTAGAACACACTGGCACCTTTTTTTCAATGGATTTTATCTGTCAGTGATTTTGGCTAGCAGATCAGCAGCAAACATCATTAACATAGTGCCTGCAGGCTGCTATTGTGTCTGCTATCTGATAGTGAGAGATAGCTGCTCTGGATGCTGCTCTGCTTGGGATTGGTGTGTGTGCTTACTGCCAGCAGCGAGTGAGTTCCGGCACCCCCCCCTTTTTTTTTTTTTTTACAAAAAAAGCACTGTGTTCACCACTTTAATTTTTTTTATTGTACCAGAAAATTGTTCAGATGTCTTCATTTTTTTATCTTTAGTTTTACCAGTTTATTGCAGGGATGGTCAGACTTGCTCAACAGAAGAACCATGTATGGTAAATGTCAGATGTTTGCCACTGCAAGTGGGTGCCCACAGGTGGTGACAACAGGCAACCAGCTGTTGGCAGGTGTTGGCAAATGGGTGCCCGTGGGTGCCCATAGCAGTGAGCGGTAAGCCACAGAATAAACGCAAAGAGTCACATGCAGCTTCCGAGTCTTGATTTGGGCACCCTTGGTCTACTGCAAGAGCACACTTAATGTTGTACAATATGTGTAGCCTTGCCTTGGCAAAGTCCTTGCAAGTTTCAGCTGGTAAAGGGAGCAAAGTACAGTAGGTAATATACAAAGAAGCTGACAAGGCAAGCCTGCATATAAGCAAATGTACTTACACTTGCCAAAGTCCAGGAGAAAATTAATACTAAAAGAGGAAAGGCTGGTGGAGAAGCAGTGCAACATGAAGTGGGACAGGAACTATCTTCCACTTAGCAAGGCAGTCCTTTCACTTTTAAATGCTGAATTGACTCATCATTGTCCTGCCTCCATTCAACACTTCTGTGTTTCTACCAAGTCCAAAAAGGGGATGATATTGGCTCCCTCCTCCTCCTCGTGACATTCTTTCAAGGCAGTTCCATAAAATTCTCCTTTTACTGCTAAGTTTCTAAATGTGCATCTGTTTCTTCCTCCCTTTATTTCACAGCCTTTAAATTTGCAAAATTATTCTGAGAGATGTAGGAAAAAGTCTTCAATGGCTATTGAAGACTGTTGTGAAGGAGAGCCACAATAAGCTAACTCATCTGTCAGGTGTACCATGGGTTGTTTTTTGGTCAGTAAGTAATTTCCATTTAACTACTGACCTTCCAAGAGGTAAGAGGTGCATGGTTGCTGTTATTTCTTTTCTTCCCTCTTTTTAAATAGCATATTGTATAACAGCCGTCAGATCTTTAAATGCTCACAGTTTGAAAAGAGTCAAGTGATGCTATGTAGAAGGTATGCCAGTATCCTGTTGCATTTATGTTTTTTACTGCTGTTTTGCCAGCAAGACTTAGGCATGATGATAGTGCTACACAACTGTAATCAGACTAATGTCCTATGCACATATATTAAAATTCTATTGAGTTGAATGGAAGTTTACTTCTTAACTCACTATGGTTTGGCTCACAATCCAACATAATTTCTCATCAAGGTAGATTTCAAGACCCACTGATACCTTGTATGCTTTTCTGAGACAAGCACTTTTAACTGGATAAGATGAGATTTTCACAGTTCTTTTCCGGAGTGGCACAATCATAGTCCTGATCCACAAAGTGAATGTAAAGTACAGATTGTAATACGAATTCAGTTTTCCTTCTGCCTTCTTTCCTCATGCAGTAACCACATAAATTGCAAACAGTTTGAGAGTGGCTCAGGGGAGATAATAGAAACTTTCCTGGCCAATTTGACATCAGATTCTGTTGGTTGTTTTTAAATTGTAACTTTTAAAGATGGTACTCAGGAGCAATCTACATAGTATTCATAGTGGTACATTTCTGTTTAAAAATTTCATGTACAATGAAGAAAAGTTATTCTAGTAAGAAGAAATATTTTTATGTTGTATCCTCTTAAGTATGTGTAAGTTTAGTGGAAAATGATGAGTTTAATGGCCCTGTTTATTATACTAGGGATATAATGTACTGATAAAAGGCGCTGCTAAAATTCAAGCCTGTAGTTCCATAATGAGATAACATTTGTTGCAGTTCTTAAAATATGTTTATTTGGAGTGCTTCTTAATGTTGAGAAAATTGTCAAATCTTAAGATAAAATTTTCAAGATATTATGTCCTTCCTAAATGGAATAAAAAGTTTATATGACTTTAGGAAGAGGCTCTAAATTATAAATAATAATTGCTCTTTAGTTCTCTTCATTTATGTTAATATCATCTGCTTTACAGTTATGTCATCTGCTGGCAATTTCTGTAGCACTTCTCAGGTGTCAACACTTACTCACAGCCATGTGCTAAAACAGGTTGGGCTTGCGATGTGGAGTACTGAAGATCGCTCCCCTCTCCTACATTTTCAATCTGTAGTGATAAAGTGATTTTGCCACATATGAGGGAAAGCCCCAAAAGTAGTTGTTTGACAGTGTTTAGTTGGTTTTCTTATTACAGTAAAGGTATTCAAAATTTACAGTTGCCTGTTAATGTTCGCTTACGGATTGTTTTCAGTTTAAAGCTGCAGACTCAGAACCAAACTAGGAATAAGGGTTAACATGTACTTAGTGTGCCTGCGTTCTACGCATATAAAGGGGGTGTGGTTTTTTTTTTAGCATTGAAAGGCCTGCAGTAGGTAACAGGAGCTGAACCCTCCCTCCTTTATTTTTTCAGTAGACAGTTTATTGCTGGACTTAGTTAATTCTGGTGTTGGAGCTGGGTTTAAGGGAAAATGGAATTTGTGCAAGAGTCTTCAGAAAAGTAAGATGGGGGAAGCTCAGCTGTAGGAAGAATACAACTGATATGCATTATTTTCTGTGGATATTTGTTGGGAATATCCTTACACTTATGCATGTTGAAACTTAACTAGATTGTATATATGTTGAAATGTGCCCTGTTCTTTGGATGAACTAAAGGATACTGATTTGTGTGGGAATGGGAAGTAGGAAGAGATTTTTATCTGGTAACTTTCTTTTCTCCTTGATATTCTAGTTTGTTATTGTAGTGAATTTTGCTTACACTTGAAAAAGTAAATAAATATTCTGCATAAAGCGTACTTTAATATTATAATCATGTATCATATATAGTAATGCTGAACTTGGTTTTTCAACTGTAGGTGCATATGTAGCCAACCCAGTACCATTCATGTGCAAAACGGAGGTATTGGCACTCTTGGGGAAACCCATAATCCTTACCAAAAATAACCCTGAGGGGCAAATATCTGGGTCCCAAATAGCTGAGTGAGGAACAAGTGTGTTTAGTGGGAGTGGAACACTGATGACTGATATTAGGGAAGGAGATAAAGAGGGAGAGACTGAAAAAAAGCCCTCCATTCTACAGCAAGATCCTCTTGTTCCCTCTTGTTTCTAAGCTTAAGGGGTAAGCTGCTTAGGTAGTCATAAATTGCACATGAGGAAAGTAGTAGCATGTTTGGAGACAGGACTGAAAATATTACAGAATATAGAAAATGGGTTAAAATTCAGTCCAAAACAGATCAGTGCATAGATGAAAAACTGCTCCATGGCCACCTCTCTCTATTTGAAACGAGGCTTAGATGAGAAGAGTTTGTCCCCTCCCTTCTAGTGACATTGTTCAAGGGAATGGAGCAGGATGGAGCTCTGGAAAGGACATAGAGGAGAGAAACTGGATGTATGGTAAGATGGAAGAAAGGCAGGATAGTGGGCAAGGAGTGAAAAAGTAGAGGAAAACAATGGCAGACTTAACAGGGAGTAATGAATATGGAATCAGAATAAATATGTCAGGTGAAGGAAAGAAAAGTGTGTGAACAGGAGTAATCGAAAACGGTGGCATGGATGTTGAAGGATATGATGTGAGGGGGTATGTCTGGCACAGTGGAGAGCTCTGGCTGCCTCTGTGAGAAAGAGGAGGGTTGCTGCTTCATGTGAGGAGCCTTAGGAGTAGGAGAGGTGAAGGAAGCGAAGACGATGTGGATGTTAACACACATAGATGTGTGCACAGTGTAGGTGGACACATCCTGTGAATGCAACATTTTGCTGTATGTCCCTGCTTGTTTAATCTCTGGTTTGATAACAAGAGAATAAATGCAAACTAGCTTTTGGGGGGTGAGAATGAAATCCAAGCCATTCCCATTGTATTTATTGCTTATTATTTGTCTTTTGTGCCCTGTAATTTAATGTCTTCTGCAGCAGGATATACTATTTTCTGTTTTAAAATTCTGAATAGTATTACTATTTTTATTAACTGTAAATTTAGAATACAGCATCAGGTTGGGTTAATTTAAAGGTAGATTGTGGACAAGTAATGCATCTGTCTAGAAGAACTGTGTACATCTTGTTGAGGACTATCCAAAGGTTCCATTTAACTTGATTTCCATGAAATTATCATAAGTTGTCTGTGGATGTTCTGCATGTAATGTCTAGTCAATACAGTATTAATCTACAGCATCTGGGTCTATTGTTCTTATTAAAGACTTCCACTTAATTAAAAACTTTTCTATGCTGTCCTCTATGCCCATGCAGTTATTCTAGAGAATCCAGACAATGTTACTCGCAAATTGTTGCACTTCCATATTTTTCTTGATTTAAATTTTTCATGTGTTCCTAGTGGGGTCTCCCACCCACAAATCATCAGATAGGATTGCAGTGCAATCTGGGCACACCTAGAGCAGGTCACAACTCCACTCTGTTTCCTTTTTTTTTTTTTTTGTTTTGTTTTCTGCCTGCACCATTGTCATTAACATTCTTAGTGTGGCCACTCCTTCAGGGAGGTGTAATCATGATCTTCTCTTTTAAAATCATTATTTTTCTATAAATGCAGGAACAACCCAATTTTAATAAAAGCATTGGAATACAATGCTATTAAACAGATTTACTTTTTTAAAACTGCATGAAAATATTATTATTACATTTATTCCCTAATGTTTTGGCTCTTGTAAGGAACTCAAGGTGGTTTACCTGAGTCTTCTCCAGTGAATTCTCACAAGAACCCTGTGAAGAGAACTAGGCCGAGAATCAGTAATTTGACCAAAATCACCTGTTGAGCTTCATAGCTGAGCAGGGAGTAGAATCCAGATCCCTCAGGTCCCAGGTCAACACCATAATCACTATTTCACAAAGATATG